AGTCAGTGAATTTTCCTTCTGCCGCTTAATATTCTTCTCTTAGTTTTCGGTAACTTGTAATTATAATTTTATTACTATTTATTATTATTATTAGTATTATTATTATTATTATTATTATTATTATTATTATTATTATTATTATTCTGTTAGGACTATTCTTTATATTATTGTTAGTATTTTCACTCTAGCTTATACTATTGTAGAACTTATCTGTTCATTTTTTCAGGATGCTCTATATCCTGTCTCTTATACACATCTAGATGTGTATAAGAGACAGGCCCGGAAGAGACTATATCTAACCAATGCATTTCGCACTCTTTGGTGGCCAAGTTGCATAATTGAATGAATAGAGAATCTGTTATCTTTAGTATTGATAATGATTTATTCATAATAGCGATCTTCCTCCTATTGCAATTGTATAGCCATGACATAGATTTTATATAGGGTATGTGTCGTAACATGAAAATATCCTATTCTCGGATGCGTTTGAGTTAATTATCAGGCGCATCACACCATAATACTAGGCCATTTTGTTTTAAAATTACAACTAATACTATTTACCGGATGCAAGGTAACATTTTAAACCAATAACCTATACTGTAGGTCTGTGTCAAGCAGAAACGAGGAAGAATAATTTGTGGCTATCTATCTTAACTCTTCTCAGGATTGTTGACCAACAAAAAGTTGCGATCCCATAGAATTTGTGTTTAGGGAATAAACAATTTAGATTAGAACATTATAACACTCTTAAACAGGGGCTGCAAAGAATAATTAAATGCTTTTTGATTAAGTTTATTTATTATGTACTGCTTTGTCTCATGTATAATTAACTTACTCATTTTAAAGTAACACAAATTATCAACTTTAACCATAGAGCAAAGAAACATTTTGTTTTGCTCTATGCTTCTACATATAATTGTACAGAACAAAATGATCAAAACACTGGGCTCGCAGTCACCTAAAGTGTTTTAACATCTTTTAATGTCTATCCAGTAATCCGGTACACATTTTTAAAATCTAAATAACCTCTCTACTCAAGTTAATAATAGACCTATGTGTAATCTAGAATGAGCAAGCTAATTTCAAAATTATTTTCTATCCAGTACACTCAAAAAAGTTGTCAGGCTATTTTCGACCCTTTGATTTCATTACAAACATCTCCAGAAACATGCCATGGGTATAATTGTATAGGCCAATTTGTTTTTCGAAGGCTAAAAGTGTAGTAAATGTATTACGTCACTACTAAAGTGTAATGTAATTTAGCAAGTAATTTATTCGGAAACTACAATTTTTTAACAGTGGCACACTAAGTACACATTAAAAAGGACTTAACAAAATAATGCTTAACTGATAATGACCAAGCAAGATTGGCCCCTACATAAATAATTGAATACACTATTGCATGTTTAGGTAAAAGTATGGCCTCGGTATGTCAATATTTCAGGGTTAGAGGTTAATGCTTTATTACAATGATGACAAAATGCTTACAAAAAATAGATAAATGAAACAACATAATATATATAGCATATATGAAACTATTTTTCCTTCTTTTAATATTTCATTTAGGAAATGAGAGGTTAACCAATGTACTTCGCAGGTTTGGTGGTCAAGTTACATTAAATGAATAGAGAATCTGTTGGTTTAATTGATTTAAAACTTATAATAGCGATTTTTCTCCTATTATAATTGCATTGCCATGACCACAGACCCTATATACGAGAGTCGGCGCCATAGGCTTATATCCTATTTAAGATACATTCTGTAGGCCTACTTTATCGATTCATAACTAAATGTCAACGGAGTTATAATACTAATAGTAGGCCGGCCTATGTATAATCATGGTAATGCGAACTCAGATACGTAAAATATTTACTAGAAATATTATTTGCAAACAGGGGAGTGGAGGGAGCACAACTATTCTGAATCGATAAGTGAGTAGGGCTAGTTTCAATGTATGCATTAACATTTTAAAATATATGGCAAAACTGAATCCGCGCCTGATGTTTATTGCTACGAATATTTCGACTAACTCCTGTGTATTTTCTTTGTCAACGCTTTACATAAATGAACATTTTGAGAAAGTTGAGTGAGAACTAAAAGAAGGGCCTCAATGTGTATTGATGGTGAAAGAATATGTTTGTAATAAATAAAACCATGATGAAAATGCTTATATTTAGTTTCAAACACAAGTGTGTGGCCTATATTATACCATACCATATTTTAGAAATATGAGAATGCTGTAGGCCTATATGAATATTATAATAATAATAATTATTATTATTATTATTATTATTAGTAGTAGTAGTAGTAGTAGTAGTGGTAGTGGTAGTGGTAGTGGTAGTAGTAGTAGTAAGTAAACAAACAATTTAAACAATCACAATATTTTTCAATGATTCTGTGTATTACAATAGAAATATTAAAAGGGAAAAAAAACACCACGAAGTATATCACTCATTCCTGATGGTGAATCCGACACAGTGGCTTGCATTTCTTAATTTCCGCATTTCGATACTTGGGTAGGCCTATTATACTATTTTATCTGAGGTTAACCATACATCGCTCTAAATCAAGAACTTTAAATGTAAATGAGAAAATAACAATAGAAATACACGTTTCCGTGGCTACGCTTGCACTACTGAGTGGCCAAAACATGCCCATTCGTACAGAACGCGTGTGCACAGTGTCTGTCAGTTGATGGATCATCTAAAGCGAATTCACCAATGTTCAACCTAGTTTAACGAACAATATTACAGTTATATAACACACAACAGAAGTTAATGATCACAATCAATGTCTGAATTAAACTTATGTAAATAATCAAAGTCAAACAAGAAAACAACGCGTCGTATATGCCACTGGAACCCTAATTCTATATATCTTAAAGAGCAATCCAGTCAGCTATTTTTAGCATTCGACATGCTTTCCCTGTCTCAGATAACATTCCTGAATTGGCGGCGTACCGATACGAAGAGTTTGTCTCCGATAACATTCTTGAAGTGGCGGCGTACAAAGACTTGTGATTCTCCCAAGAGTATCATTGAACCCTACTTGCGGAGAAGTTGCTCACTACACTGAATTCACTGTTACTAGGCAAATTAGTACTGGCAACTTGATGCATACAATATTGAAATATAACCTATTTGTTAATGCGTAGCGCGTACATTTCTGAACTGTAACAAAATACTGAAATGACTTTGCACTTTACCGAGTGCCGTGTCACTCTCATTGGGAACCTTATTCATAGGAATTTTCCCCACTGAATTTCTATAGTTACAGTTTCTAGGCAACCAGCATTTTCTGAACCTAACAATGTACATAGGCTTACATTAACAATATCCATTATTAATAATTATTTTTATTGAGAATGGTTCCATGATGGACCTGAAACGTTTTGTTTTGAAATTATTTTTATTGTTTTAAATTGATAAACATAAAAGCAATACATAACGTGGAATGCAAAATAACAAAACAAAATAATGCCACATTTAAATTTAAACGTAATTACTTATATGGTATTTGAAAATAAAAAAAATTAAAAAATCGCATTCATTTTGTTATCCATTGGTCGAAATAACAAGAAAATCTGCAAGAAAAATTCCCGTGGCGGCTGCAGAATCATTAGGCAGTAGAGCAGTCAATCTTACCAATAGTGGGCGCTATTTCTTAAAAAACAACTCAAAGCATCAGTTGTTGGGTCAACTGCATGGTCAAGCTCAAAACTCATGGTCAAGCTAATCACTGATATTATTGACCAATCATGATTAGCCTAGGAGTTTCTGGGCGGATCAGTCATGTCAGCGACTTCGTTTAGGAATGCCCAGATTGTTTATTGAATGTTTTCACTGATAGCCTTATCACATTAACTCGGTGTGAGGTAATTAATCTGGGCTGATAATGACGCCGTCGTTTAATGATAATGACGCCGTCGTTTGACTACGGGCTGTTCGAAAAGATCATCGACATACCCAGTACCCAATTGGAACATTCGCTGTACCTGATGCCTGTTTTGACCATGTACACAACGAATGTCACCACGTTCAGCATTCCGTACTTCCCATATACTGTACTATGAAATTTATCTACACGCACATGTTCGTTCACACAGACTCTGTACGCAAACCTTTACAACCACCATACAAAGGTCCGTATTGTGTTTTACGCAGAGGTGACCATCATTTCACCCTAGACGACACTGTGTCTGTAGATCGTTTGAAAGTCGCATATGTTGACGACGCAGATGTGCCACCAGTTCACGTTCACCACTTACACCAACGGAAGATACAGCAGTACATCATACACGTTCAGGAAAAATTGTTCGCTACCATACTCCTTAAAACTTTTGATTTTGGACTTTACTTTTTCATACAGTGTTTTATGCTACTTGTCGTTCATATTCCCCGCTAATTTTGTTTTCTCTATTAATTGGGAATATCTCTAGGGGGAGCTAATGTAGTTATTTAACCATTTCATGTTTATTACCTTATGAATATTTGTTTTTCATTTGCTTTATTATACCAGAAATATTATTTACCTTTATTGTCCATGTTTATCATAGTATATTTTTTTTTATAATAAAATAATAAATACATAACTCTCATATTGTAATAGGCATATTTAATGACATCAGTATTTTCAACACATGTACACGGCGTCTTCCGTGTGGTTATTGCTTAGCAACCGCATTGAGTTAGTGAAGTATATTCAGAGGAAATTTTTATATGATTGTATGACCTCAATACAAGTATATTGCATCATGACATTCTGTTTATTTGATATATTTTTAGGTATCGTGAACTGGATGAGAATCATCATCTCATTAAATGGCTGTGGAAAACGTTAGAAGAGTTTAGCAATGAGGAACGAATACTGTTCATGCGGTTTGTGTCTGGACGGTCAAGATTACCCAGTAACATCGCAGATATTTCGCAGCGGTTCCAAATCATGCGTGTAGATAGGGTAAGATATGTAGATAAAGAAATAATAAGAAATAAATGTCAGACGAAAGGTACCCCAATGTAAGCAAACTGGCCAGCAGTTTGACAACAAATCCTTCCTAAAATTTGTATCGCATTTCTAATAAATATGTAAACTTGTCTGGCTTTAACAGCTAGGCAGTAGAAAGAAATTGAGAACAATAACACACCTGTCCCAAGAGATGGCAACAGTGAACTGAATCACAAGTATTAAGACACTCCTCAGTATTAGTAATATTTTTAATTCAAAGTGGCTAAGGAGGGTATAATACTAATTTGGTTGTGTTAGATTGCACACTGACCAACATGTTTTAAAAGATAATAAACTAATAATACTAGTAGATTTATTATATAATTTTTTTTTTCAGGGTACTGATGGCCTTCCCACGGCACAGACATGTTTCTTCCAACTTCGTATTCCTCCATATTCCAGCCAGGCGGTGATGGCTGAGAGAATGCGCTACGCCATTAACAACTGCCGCTCAATTGATATGGACAATTACATGTTGTCGCGCAACACAGAATCAGGACATGTATCTGATGAGGACTAGGCCTTGACAATGAGCTAATGGACCTTGCCACTAAGGCCTGCCCCTTGAATATCGTTGCTATGGTCCCACAAAACAAAAGCTTAAATTTAAATAAAAATGTGTGTTTGTAGGGCACACACATTCATGACCCGGAAAGGTCCATTATTTAGAACTAAGGACCAGAAATGGAGTGCCATCTGATGCTGAATAGGCCATTAATGATGTGGATGCAACAGTCCTTTCTGATTTGGGCATTAACAATTTTTTTAAGTTCTCTAGTTGGTCACATGGGCAGTAATAATGTTTTAAAAGCACATGTTGATGTTCATTCAAGGAATAATTACACATATTTTATATATATCAAGGCTTTTGAGTATTGTCCAATGTTTTTTTTTTGTTTTTTTTTCTTAATTCATTAGGAATGTATGTAGGTAGTGTGATGTAGGATGGAATGGATATAATATCAGTTGGAAATTGTATGCTACAAATAAAGAACTCTGAAACTGCCAGGAAAGTGCTAAATATGAGCAGAACTTTTTATTATTATCAGTGTTTTTATTGCTTTAATAATTTATTATTATTAAATAACAGTAACTGCTTTTACAAGTCATTTGGGATGTCATCATTTTACCTTTTTTGTCAGTTGTCCTTTTTGTGCTCTGGGTATATAAAGATCTTGTTTGCCATAATGACTCTACGAGAATGTGGGTAGGTCCAGCCATATGAGTGACAAATCAATAGCGTAGACCTCGGGTAGATGGGAACCTTTCAATGTGGTACAGTAATATTTGGGAACGCTGAACTCATATGATGTCTCGGGATCATTACATTTTATTAAAAGCCACAGTGGTGGTAGTCTTATTTATATACGATATATAGGTGGTGTTAGAATCCTGCTACCAGCAATATGTGTATTACAAAATATAAAGTGAGGTTTTCAAGCAATATTTCATGATTTCTATATTGATCAGTGGAATAGAAAAAAGTATGATTTTTTTTTTCGAAGGGTTTCTTTAATGTGCCTTGTGTTTCTTTCATGTGCCATGTGCATTGCCGTCCTTATTAATCGCCTATATGAAGAATTTTTTTAGCATATGAGTAACCAAATTGTTGTTAAGCATTTTTTAGCATATGAGTAACCAAATTGTTGTTAAGCATACTGACTTATTAAATGCAAGTATTGTATTATTATTGAGTATCATTTTATAGGTACCCTATATATATATATAATCTCCCTGAAAGTGAGGTATTGTTATGTATATTGTTTATGATGGCATGCATTGTGTAATACTGTAATGGTTCTGTTGATCTAGAATTACTGATAGCAACATCAAGAAAGAACATTATCAAGACATACTAGAAAAATTAGGGTATTTATTTTTAATATAAAGACTCTCTCTGTTTTATAAACTAATTATCATATGTTTGCCTCCATATTAATATTCAATAATTTAAACCACTTAAAAATTGTCTTTTACTGATAAAAAATGTATAAACATTTTGACTGCCAATTAAAGATAATATTTTACTTCCTTAGCTACTGAAAAGTGGCAGCAAACTAGGTTATTAAAATTAAGAGTGATATTTTTTACTTCGTTACCATAAATTAGACCTTGTAATTTTTTGAAATTTATTAGAAACCGTGTAATGTTTAAATTATGTAAATAATTATAGAGTTGTAGTTCTTTGAACCAATTATAAGAAACGGAACTTACCAGCTACGTTTCGGCTAGCTTCGGTAGCCTTGATCACGCAAATGATGCCTTGTTGTTACAGTGACGTCATTCATGCTTCGGTGATCTTGCATTCAAGTTCTTACGTCAGCTTTTCGCTGGTTCCCCCTCCTCTTGTTACCAGCCCTACTGTTGGCCTTCGTAGTAAATCATCGTATATGCGGCTGAGATCATGTCCTCCTTGATCCCGATTAATGTTGTTGCTAGTTTTGCGTATCCATAGTGGTTTAAATTCTGGTCTTTTTAATATTAATTACTCCAAGAATTAATTTGTTTTGAGTAGAATTTATGTCAAGTCATCTTGTGTATGTAAGGACATAATTGTGCAATTGAGTCCACAAACGTACATACGCAACGCTGTTGGAATCCAGTTGTTAATTCTAAGAGACCAAGCTGCTTCCAAATCGGTGCAATTTTATTAACATTGCTTAACACATCAGTGTTATTTTTTTTTGTAGAAATAATTAACAATCAATGTTTAATGGCATCCGTTTGTTTTTTTATTGTTTTGCAATCTTTTGCTTAATCATTTTTATTGATTATTGTCATGAACGTCTTAAGTTGTTTATTAAACGACGATAACACTAGTGAACGGTGTTTTGTATCTTATTTCTGCGTTGTATCTTGTTCTGTAAAATCTTCATATAATGCTTTATATGACTGACTCGAAAATCTCTATTGCAGAATTCAGGAGGTCATAAGGTCATCAACCAAAGATAAATGTCTACAAAACTTCTGTCAGGACCGGGATCAATAAACAACGTCCATGGCCTAGTGAAAGATCACGCACAGAGACAGCCACATGTGTTTCTATCCTCCATCCTTTCTTATTCTCTTCTCATCCTCTTTTCTCCAGAGGGCACCCTTTATGTGGCTGACATCGCCACAGAACCCCCGCCGCACACAAGTGAGTTCCACCGAGCGTTAAAGCTCTTGGTCGCTTATCTTATCACAGATTGAATTAATATAAAATATAAATAATATGAACAACGTCAAAGTAAACTGTAACACTAATGAGTGTTAGCCATACTTAACCTAATAAATAATCAATATTAGGCATAGCAATCATACACTGATACCCATGCATATACTATACGCGTTGCAACACTACTGGGAAGAGTCCGGTACCTGCACCCCCAGCAGTAAAGGCTATCTCACAAGTAAACAGACTTCATGGGGTAGCTAATCCCGGAAACCAATGTCTACTATACATTAGTCAAGCGATAATATAATAAAAATGCTTAAGTACAGCAGAAGCCCTTCTGTACAGGTACCTTTAAAATAATGCCAGTAAAACAACTTAAACTACATCATTTTATATAACTCAAACTACATCATTTTATATAACAAAAACAGCATATATGCGAAATGTGCATGCAAAAAAATCGTAATCCTATTGAAAAGTCAGCTGCACATTGTGAGTTACAACGTACTTAACAGTAGTCACTTGGTACAATTGGCACCTATGGCTTTGTATTTGAATAACAGAATAAAGGCCTAAAAAATTATTTTTCCTGATAATGCTAGCAAAATCTCCATTGTTGTATCCGAGCACGTGACAGCCAGTGCTTCCAACAATTTCTAACACATAGGTTCCTTATAGAAATATACAAGAGGTTAAAGGTTATTCATTTATACTGCTCAGAATACGAAAGTCTGCGCAGAAATTTAACTGGAAAATTAAAAAAAACTAGATACATAAACCATAGAGAAAATAGAACTATTTTCTCTATGCATAAACCCAGTCATTTTTCAGGATTTGACCCTACGGTGACCTTTGACATCAAGCTGTTAACACCCCATGTTTGTTGGGAGTCGGTCTAATGCAATTGGTCCAATATACTAACAATAATAAAAATATACTAGCAATAATTGAAAATTTTCTCCAAAATGACCCTTGTAACTATTGATCTATAGGCGAAGAGAATTTTTTTCATATTTAGAATGGTCCTAAGGATCATTCCTGGTAAATTCCAGCTCAATTGGGCAATTTTAAAAATTTGACCACGATGACCCCTATGTAACCCCTGATCCCAGACTGGGGTGTAAGAGGTGTCACTGGATCTTAATGATCAAATTTGATTGAATTCCGTTCAATCGTTTGCCATGTAACATTTTCAACCTATGAACTTTGACCTATGAGGTGAAGAGTATTTTTGTGTGTGTGTGTGTGTTTTGTACCGGTCCTAAGGATCATTCCTGGTAAATTTGAGCTCAATTAGGCTATTTTGAAAATTTAACCCAGATGACCCCTATGTGATCCCTAATCCCAGACTAGGGTGTAGGAGGTTTTGCTAGTTCTTACTGACCAAATTTGATTGCCATCGTTTGCCATTAGTAGCATTTTGAAATGTTACCAGATAGAACAAAAGAGTACCCTTTAATGACAGTTATCCATTTTTTACCCTAATGACCTCTGACCCCAAACAGTAAACCCCCATGTATGAGAGGTGTCGCTCACCGGTTATACTGACCAGGTTTAGTTGAAATCGGCACAACCGTTTGACACTAGTAGCATTTTGAAATATTGCCAGAAAAAAGATAAAAATTACCCCTACGTTATTTGTGAGAGAAGTAGTCTTTTATACGATTTTTGGGTTTTTTTTACCTCAATGCCCTTTATGTAACCTTTGACCCCACGTTGTGAACAAACATGAATGAGAAAGTTTTAATTAAATCGGTGTAGTTGTTTGCCACTAGTAGTCTTTTAAAATTTTGCCAGAAAGAAAGAACTAGAGTTACTATGTTCAATAGAACATGAACCCAGTCATTTTTCCGGATTTGACCCTAAGGTGACCACTATGACCTTTGACCTCAAGCTGTTGTAGTGCTGTGTAATTTGATAATTGGGGCAGAAAGTTCATGGAAACGGTTTCATTATTATGGGACGTAGGGAGAGCACATGGGAAGAGAGAAAATAAAGGACAGAGAGTCATTAACAGTATTGATGTATGCGAGTCTCATTTATTAGCCATTATATTACTTTTACAATTCAACCGTAAGCATCACATTGGCGACGAGTTGATAATGGATTCACTGCTGCCGAACTTTCCTCAATTTAAGCTTCGAAATGGTCCAGAAGACAGCCAAGAATTTGACAGGTACCGGTACACTGCGAGATTGGAAAATTTCTTCCGGGCGATGGCCATTACTGATGGTGCACGAGCGCTTCTACTCCATTACGGGGGTGAAGCTCTCTACGACATTTTTCAAAATCTGGCTAACTCTGGAGACACTTACGATGCCGCAAAAAATGCGCTCAAAACCTATTTCGAGCCCAAGAAAAACGTACCTTTTGCAATCTACACATTTCGCCAACTGAAACAGGGACGAAATGAGTCCATTGATGCGTTCGTTACCAGGCTGCGCCGAATACAGATCGTTTCGGTCGCGCTTCGTTTCGGTCGCGGTTTGTTTTCAACAAATATATGGAGCGCCAATGGAGTTTCGAAACGCTAAATTTAATATAACTAGGCCTAATTATCATTGCAAGTTCGTCAATCGGTTTATCATACTTTTTTTATTTATGTTTTGTTGTATTTCTAATAAGTAACAACAGGCTACTTAAAAGCAAGTAAAATTAATACTATTATTACTAAACTATCAATAATATTTTCGGACGGTTTTTATTTTCGTTTTGTTATGAATCCTACGCTTTCTACTACATAAAAAATACAGCAAATAAAATAAATACTAAAATATGATATGATGTTATATTATTATTATTATTATTATTATTATTATTTATTTATTTACATTGTATCTGGAAAAAACAGCCAATTTGTCATTTAAATTACTGTAACATGAGTTTATTAACAATTATTTTTATTAGTATTAAAGTTATTGTTTTTATTTTCGTTTTATGAATCCTACGCTTTCTACTACATAAATACAGCAAATAAGATAAATACTAAAATATGATATGATGTTATATATTATTATTATTGTTATTATTATTATTATTATTATTATTATTATTATTATTATTATTATTATTATTATTATTTATTATTATTATTTATTTATTTATTTTTTTTTATTTACATTGTATCTGGAAAAACCAGCCAATTTGTCATTTAAATTACTGTAACATTAGTTTATTAACAATTATTTTTATTAGTATTAAACTTTGTTATTTTTACTATATTACTATATAACTTGGTGCTATTTTTCTTTTTTTACAGAAACAACGCAGATGTTACGAAGTTGACCGAGTTTGAGATACGTTTTTTTGGTTCTTGCTATATATATTGATATAATTTTTATTAATGCTTGAATCAAATAAAAATCTATGGAATAAGTATAGTCAATAGATTAGTTTCGCATAGGTTTTTTTTTTCTTGTCTGTTACGTTTCCATTTACCATAAATGTTCTGATCATGTTATAATAATATTGTAAAGGAAATATGTATTTCCATATTTATATTTTCCATATAAAATTATCAATACATTGATAATTGCATGCGGTACATTTTAAAAGCCTTTTCATGCTTCTGTTATATTCATAACCCCGAGAAAATCACTCAACTTGCTAGGCCTATTTCTTTAGTTGCATAACTGGAGTATAATTGTGGAAAGAAACGTTTCCACAAATTTATTGCCATGGTACTCT